GCCCATTCCCCTCCTCCCTCCCGCCCCCTCCACTCCAGCTCTCTTCCTTCTTCCCGCTTTGTCCAGTCTCTGACGCAGCAAATCACGCCTGGGCAGTTGGGGGCGGGCTTTAACTGACTTGCGTCCTTTGATTGGGCCGCCGAAGGGGCGGGGCGGGGCAGGGCTGTGCTAGGGAGAGGGAAGTGGAGCTCTAGCCTCTGCGCGCCAAGTTTGGGTTTCCTCCGGACGCGTCGTGTCACGTGGTCTGTCGGCTGGTTCCCAGGGCACGTGTTGGGCTGTTGGAATTTGGCGGCTCGTCCTAGATTGGGCGCTGTGCCTTTCCGGCAAACGGCGGGGCTCGAGTCATTCTTCGCGCGCTCTCCAGGAACTCAGCGATCCTGCCTCTGCCTCCCGAGTGCTGGGATTAAAGGCGTGTGCCCCTTTCCTTCCGTAAAGGCCGGAGGGCCAGAACCCGCTACCAAGTGAATTGGAGGCCATCCTACACCTCCTAAGACTAGGTATGTAATGTCTAATCTTTGCGGTTGTTTTTGTTTTTTGAAGTGGGGAGTCTCAAGTAGCACATGCAAGCCTCGAACTGTAGCCAAGGATGACCTTGAACTTCTGATTGTCCTTCACCTCACCAGCGAGAGCTCCCACTCCTAGTTTATGGGGTGCTGAGGATGGAACCCCTTGATTTACACGTTAGTGAAGCTTCGGAGGTTTGTCTCTAGTTGTGTAATCACTACTTGTGATTTAGTAGCACGTCCTTGTATGTCTGCAGTGTGTTACCCTGACCTAGGAGACAGGTTGGGTTGCCTCTGTTTCAAGGTCTGGAAGTTAGGTGGCCCTTGGTTAGCTGAAGCAAGCACAAATGTGTTTCTTTATGTCAGACAGTTGTTGGACTGGAAACACCAGTTTAGGTTCCCTACAGAATCTATTTAAAATTTTTTCCTTGAGGGAATGTCAAAGGGAGGTGAATAATTGTGTTACCCGGGGTTCTAGGGAAAACCAAAAGTTCATGTGCCCTTTGGGAGCTATGTGTGAGACAAGGCTACCATGCCTAGCTCCTATTACAATTTAAAGGCAGTAATAGTAATGGATATGGACTTTGGCAAACCTATAGACCTTAATAAAAAAAAAATGCTGCTTGTTTTCAACAGTTAGCTAAAAAATGTCTATTTGAAGCACACACCTTTAATCCCAGCACTTGGGAGGCAGAGGCAGGTGGATCTACAGAGTGAGTTCCAGGACAGCCAGCACTCTTAAACTTAATACATAGAAATCATGTCTCAAAACCAAACAAACAGCTGAGTGGTGGAACATACCTTTAATCCCAACACTTTTAAACCCAGCATTCTGGAGGCACAGGATCTCTGTGAATTCAAGGCCAGCTGGGTCTGCAAAGCAAATGCCAAGACAACCAGGACTGTTACACAGAGAAATCCTGTCTTGAAAAACCACACATACACACATAACACACACCAAACAAACAACAACACACAAGATGGAAAATTTCAGGGAGAGAAGAGACTGATGAGTTGGGGGGTGCGGTGGGGGCAAGGAGGCCACCCCTGCAGCAGCTTCCACTGAGGCTTAGGTAAGTGCTACTCATGAAGACCATCTTTGGTCAGGAAGCCATTGCTTGTGGGCCAATGGGCAGCAGCAAATGAGTCTGAGGACCAGAATGGGGGTGCTGGTGGTACCTGGATAGAGGTGGTGGTGTGTTCTTCCTGAGGAGAAGGGGCTGAATGCTCCTTGCCTAAGGAAAAGAGGTCTGGCCCTCCAGAGAAGAGGATGCCAAATGACCTTTGTTCTTGCTGGTTGGGAGATACCATTTCCAGCCTTCAGCAGTTAATGATTAATGAAAATGTTGTCCTTTGGGATTCCAGGGACAAATTTCCCCACCTGACTGTCATGGACTCTGGTTCCAACTTGCCAAGGACCCAGAGAGGTGCCTGGATTACCTGGGTGCTGATCTTGAGGGCAGAAGCTCTTGTGGTCTTTGCATGCATTGCTGAGATTATTGTAAACCTCTCTTTCCCAAGGTACTGCTACAACAGCTGCTGCAAAAGCAAAATTGACTCGTGTTTCTCTTGTGTGGCATATATGTGTCTGATGACTCCATGCTTGTGTTAAAATAATATCTACTCTGAAATTCCTAACTAGGAATTTTCTTTTTAAAGATCATTGACCCTTTGTTTACCTCTTTCAGAAAGAGGGGGAGCCCTATCATTTGGAACTATTTTTGTAGTTTGCCCCTTGGTTTTGTCTGTCTGGGAGTGTGCCTTCTTTGCTCATGCACTCACGATTGGCTTTGTTTGTTTGTTCTTTATTTTGTTTTTCAAGACCGGGTATGTGTTCAGTATTCATGTTGGTCTGTGGTCCTTTTCCACCAGAGGAAACCCTGTAAAGGCAGGGACCCCAGTTGGATTTTGTGGTGATATTTTGTTTGTGATCTAACAAATAAAGCTTGCCTGAAGATCAGAGTGCCAAAGACACCAGGCAGTGGTGGCACATACTTTTAATCTCAGTTCTTGGGAGTCACAGGCCTTTAATCTCAGCACTTGGGAGGTGGAGATAGGAGTGGTATGGTTGGACTGAGAAAGGAATAAAAGGTGGGAGGAGACAGGAGCTCATTGCATTCAGTCTGACAGAATTTGTAGGGACAGAATCCCCTTTTGGTCTGAGGACTCAGTACAGGTAAAAGGTCTCTCTTGTGGCTGGCTCCTTTACTTCTCTGACCTTTCAGCATTCACCCTAATATCTGACTCCAGGTTGATTTTTTTAAAAATATTTTATATTTATATATATTTATATTATTTATATAATATTTTAATTTTTTAATATTTATTTATTATGTATACAACATTCTGCTTCCATGTATATCTGCACACCAGAAGAGGGCACCAGATCTCATAACGGATGGTTGTGAGCCACCATGTGGGTGCTGGGAATTGAACTCAGGACTCCTGGAAGAGCAGTCGGTGCTCTTAATCTCTGAGCCATCTCTATAGCCCCTGACTCCAGGTTTTTATTATTAAGATCTATTGGAACTCATGCTACAGGATTTATTGTCCACAGCACCAAAAACTAGTAGTTGTTGGAAGGTCCTTAACTACCTGTCTTGTAAGTAAAGTTGGCACAAACTAACAGAAAAGGACAGGAGGGCTGCCGGCCATTGGGTAAAGGAAGAGCTTTATTTTATGTGCACAACATAACTTGGTGTTGAATGTCTAGTCAGAGAGTTTCTTTTTTGTTGTTGTTTGTTTTTCTGAGGCAGGGTTTCTTTGTAGCCCTGGCTGTCCTGGAACTTGCTCTGTAGACCAGGCTGGCCTGGAACTCAGAGATCTTCCTGCCTCTAATTCCTGAATGCTGGGGTTAAAGTCGAGGGGCACCATCGCCTGGCTCGGAGGCATTTCTTACAGCAAAACTCCATTTGTGCTTCCATGGATTCTGAGAGAAATGTGTCCAGATGGAGTGAAGAATGCAGGACTTAATTATAAAATGCTTGCTGCATATATGGTGGAACGTGCCCCTAATCCTAGCATTTGGGAAGTGCAAGAAAGAGTGGTTCAAGGTCATTTCTAGGTTCATGCTGAGTCTAAGGCCAACCTGGACCATGTGAGGAAAAAAGCAACTATAAAATGCTGGTGCTGGACATCTTGGAAGGAGTATCCCAGTTGCCTGTGCTTTTTGTTAATTTGTGTGTTTACCCAGGAAAATCTGAGAAGTATAGAATGTGTACTGTTTCACAAGAGCTTACCAGTTTTCTGCCAGTGGAACTCGTTTAAGTAAAGTGTCCGACTGATCATTTAGACGGATTACTTCTTCCAGTGTAGCCCCACATTAGGCGCCAAATATTATTCTTTTGCTTAAATTAGAAATTCGAGAGATGGACATGGGCTATAGAGAGCACATTCACTAGTTTATTATAGGGCGGGAGAGAGAGAGACAGAGACAGAGAGAGAGACAGACAGACAGACAGAGAGAGGTCGAATGCCGGAAAGAGAGAGAGAGAGAGGAGAATAATGCTGTAGGTTATAAGGGGAGCTCGTGCATGTGTACCGAGTCCCTACAAAGCCCCATAATGAGAGACATAGCCATGACGTGGCCAAGCAACACAGGGCTCTTTAAGCTGCCTAGGTATTTGCCTGAACCTTTCACCAGTGTTTATCTGGCAGTGCTGGGTTCAGTATAGAACCATCCAAGAAAGCCTTGGAAGGAGGAGGCTTTAGAGCAGGGAGCTTTGGAATGAGGAAAATGTCTGGTCCGAAGTTCAGAAAGGAGCCCCAAGTGAGTTCCAGGGGTTTATGTTCCTGCTTATCAAAAAGAAGAAGAAGGGAGTAGAAAGAGGAGGAGGAAGAGGAGAAGAGGAAGAAGAAGAAGAAGAAGAAGAAGAAGAAGAAGAAGAAGAAGAAGAAGAAGAAGAAGAAACAGTAGTAGTAATAGTAGCGTATCAGCCACTCTGGGAGTAGATGTTGTTGTTGGGACCCACATGTACTTTCTCCTTGTTTTAGGCAACTCTGAACCAGTGCAGCAGCAGCAAACATGGATAGTGCCCTGTGGTCCTCTCATGAGAAGATGTTGGCACAGCCCCTCAAGGACAGTGATGCCGAGGTGAGACTATGGCACTTTCACAGGCTTTTACATTGGCGGTCTTGTTTAGATGACTGTGGGTTTTTTGTTGTTTTGTGGGAATTTTGTTTTGTTTCCTTTCATTTTTTTTGTGCTGTGAGGGGTGGAACTCACGCCTGTTAGGCAGATGTTTCACTACTGTACTACACTCCTGGACTCTAAATTGCTCATTACCATGCTGAGTTGACTGTGTATAGACAGATTGAGGCTGGCATGTAGTGTGGTAGATTATTTGCTCTCCCAGTTACGACTCCAGCACCACCAACGGAGAAGATTGAGAAGCTGTGGCTGATAGTCCTTTGGGGATAAATATAGGTTTTTCTGAGCTCAGTGCTAGGTGCTCTAGGAAATAGGAAGAAGGTTGCCCTCCTTTACATTGCCCAGGAACAGACGCGATCTCATATACTTAAAAGCAACTTGATTTTATAGTAATTTTGTTGATATATTTATTATTCAGTTGTACCATTCTGTTGTGCTAGCATTTAATGGTCCTCAATTTACACGTAAACTATGTTTTAATAAATCCACATAAGTTGAAAATAGGTCAAACTTCTGAGTCTACTCCTTGCCTGTCACATATCCAGACTTTGTCAGTGTGGAACATGGTAGTCATCGTATCCCCAGGATAGTCAGGATTGTATCCCGTCATGGGCTCACTGGGCATTGCAGCATCAGGAGTGGAGTTCAGAATCTCTCTAGCCAGGAAAAGAGACCTGTTCAAAGCTTGAAGTGGTATCTACTTGGTGCCTAGTGCTTTGCCTCTCTCAAAAGCTGAGAAATTTTTATGTCCAGCAGCATCTGTACTCAAAGTGAAGTATAGAACATTTTTATACCAAGGAATCCATGAGCAACTACCCCATTCTCTCTCAATTTCCCAACCATGGGCAACCATTAGTGGAGTTTCTGTTCTGCTGTATTTGCTAAAACATTTTTTTGGAATAAGGTTTATAGAGATAAGAACTTAGTAAAATGTAAGGATAGAATTAAAAATTAGCTGCTGGTGGTGGCCATACCTTTAATGCTGCAGAGGGACAAGTAGATCACTAAATTAGAAGCCAGCCGGGACTATATTCCAGGCTGGCCAAGGCACATAGTGAGAGCCCATCTCAGCAAACAAACAATAAAAATTAGGCATGATCCTAAATCACATTGTTTTGCTACCTAAGGGTGACCCGAGCCTCTGGTCATTCACTTCACCTTGTTTTGCTATCTGACTGAGGGTGACCCTGAGCCTCTGGTCATCCACCTTTACTCCCAGATGTTGAGATTATAGATTCTTGCCAGCAGGTCCTGTTCATTTTGTTTTAAGTTTATTTTTGTTGCTGTTTTTCTAATTAAACTCTGTACGGCCAAGGGTGATCTTGAAGCTTCTGATTCTGCCACTTTACGTCCTGAGGGCTGAGATTTCAGGCATGTGCCACCCTCCCCAATTTATTCAATACTGGAGATCAAGCCCGAGGGATTATGAATGCTAGATAAACCCTCTAGCAACTGGGCTACCCTCCAACCTCATGTCTGTTTTCTTCTGATAAGGTTTACAACATTATTAAAAAAGAGAACAATCGGCAAAGGATTGGATTGAGAATTTTGCCAGCAGAGCTGTGTTGGAGGCCCTGGGATCTTGCTTAAATAATAAATACTCTGAGGGATATCCAGGCCAAAGGTGAGTGAGTGTTCTTAAAGTCCTGCTTTGATCATTTGTTTTTATTTCTTGTTATGTGGTTCAGGCTGACCTTTAGCCCTAATTCTCCTGCCTCAGCCTTCCAAGTGCTATGTGGTTTTAATTTACAATTCCTGGCTTTCAACTAATATGTAACTTTCAAAAACCTGTAGCTTCCTAGTTGTCTTCCCTTCTTGCTCTGTGATGTGACTCCTCCAGTTCTCGGCTTGGGTGGGATTTTGTGATCTTTCTTAGAGCTGTCACACTCAACAGTCCCTATATGAGACCTTTGTAGAATAGGCTGGCCTCGTCCCTCTGGGTTCAAGTGGTTATGAGCAGGCTTGTCTATGAGAGATGTAGTCAAGGCTCTAGGAAAGGTCATTGTCCTGAGAGAAAGTTACAGAGAGTGGATTGCTCTGAGAACCTTTGCATCTAGGAAGTGGAAAAACAAAACAAAAACCCTGTATTGCAGGCTCAATATACCTCCTCTAAAATGCTTTCAATCAAAAGTGTTTTTCATTAATTTTTCTACTTGATTCTTTGCTCAAGCAGTCTATATCTGAAACTAGTGGTTCAAAATTTGAAACTTTGGGTATTTTGTGAGTTTTACTATGTAGTCATACAACTTGGTGTGTGGACCAGATTGGCTGCACACTTGTGTTGCTCCTCCTGCCTCTATTTCTCAAGTGGCATGCACCACTATGCCTGATCTTTTTTTGTTGTCTTTGGTGGTGCTTGCTGGGAGTTGAATTTAGGACTTCATGCACACTAGGCAAGTCTCCTGCCACTGGCTTTGACACTCTCCACATTGAAACCTGTTTGTTGGGACAGAATTTCAGAATCTCACTGCATAGCATAAGCTCGGTCCTATCTATCTATATATCTATCACAGTCATTATAAGACAAACAAAATATAGAAGTTGACAGTGGTTTTTGCACCTGCTTGTTCCAATGGGAACAGGAAAAAGGAGAGCCTCCAAAGAATACAATGTGTTCTGTCCTGAGGTACCCTTGTTTCTTTTCCCTCTCTTTTTTTTTCTTGGGACAGGGTCTTTGTATATAGCACCAGCCAGCCTGGAACTCCTCCTGCTTCAGCCCGCCAAGTATTGCTTAAAGGTGTGCACCACCAGGACTCCTCCCCCACCCATCTACCCATACTCTGCCCACCCTAGGCAACTTTGATCTCTGCTAGGCACAGAGACTGGGCCCAACGTGGATGGTGGACCATGCTTCCTTTTACAGGTATTATGGTGGGACCGAGTTCATCGATGAGCTGGAGACACTGTGTCAGAAGCGTGCATTGCAGGCCTATCATCTGGATCCTCGGTGCTGGGGCGTCAATGTCCAGCCTTATTCAGGTGATCATTGCATCCATGTAGACCCTGCGTAGCTCCATAGGCCTTGCTCTATGGTGTTACAGCCACCAAGTCAAGTCCTACAAAAAGCTTCTCGCCGGGCGTTGGTGGCGCACGCCTTTAATCCCAGCACTTGGGAGGCAGAGGCAGGTGGATCTCTGTAAGTTCGAGACCAGCCTGGTCTACAAGAGCTAGTTCCAGGACAGCCTCCAAAGCCACAGAGAAACCTTGTCTCGAAACCCTCCCCCCCCCCCCAAAAAAAAGCTCCTCATAAATAACAGAGAGAAGCCAAGGAATGTGTACATCCATCTCTATTGCCCTTGGACCTACTTAGGCTCCGCACTCCCCTCCCAAGTAGCATTCTCCACTGGGACTTGGGATCAGTGGGACTTTCTAAGGCTCAGGAAAATCATGGTGATAGCCTGCTGAATGATTGTGTAGTAGCCAAGCTCCTGGATGCCACTTTGTGTCTCATGGGTAGAAATTCTCATGACCTCTCTCTTGTCCCTGTTTCAGGCTCCCCTGCAAACTTCGCTGTATATTCTGCCCTGGTTGAGCCCCATGGACGTATCATGGGCTTAGACCTGCCAGATGGAGGTCATTTGACTCATGGCTTCATGACAGACAAGAAGAAAATCTCTGCTACATCTATCTTCTTTGAATCTATGCCTTATAAGGTAGGGAGTGTGTATCTCCTCAGAGCTTTCCTTATGAGTTGGCACCCACGGGGATAAGTCATTTCATTTACACAGCACTGCTGCAGCCCCTTCTACTAGATCTCACCTCCTTGCCCCAAAGATTCTCCAGGCTCTTGGCACACTGCCAAGAAAGTGGAAGCTCAGGCATAGCTTCCATATGACATGATGGAAGCTATGCCTGAGAAAAGATCAGATAGCCAGACTCCTAGCAACAGCTGGTGGCACACCAAAATCAATAGGCAGTGTCCCTATCTCTAGCTCTAGCATCAATACTAGCAGCTTCTAGGTGGTGTGTTTTGGTTGTATGAGTATTTGCCTCTGTGTGTGTGTGTGTGTGTGTGTGTGTGTGTGTGTGTGTGTGTGTGTGTACACATATGTAACAGGTATGTGTGTATCTGATGCCTGAAGAGGTCAGAAGAGGGTGTTGATTTCTTGGAACTGGAGTGTGCATGTGTGTGGGTGCTAGGAACCAAATCTGGGTCCTCTGCAAGAACAGCAAATGCTTGTATCTGCTGAAGAATTTCTCCAGCCCTTGTCTTTATTATTTTGGTTAGTTGGTATCTTAGTCTGTAACCCAGGCTGACTTTGAACTCATGACAATCCTTCTGCCTCAGCCAGTGCCCTGCCCCTGGTCCTGGTCTGTGTTGTGGCAGGGGGAATTGTTTTGAAGGGG